CAATGTTACAATTCTATATATTTAACAATATAAATATAATATAACACATGGTGTTACATAACTATATTGCGGAGAACGAAATCATTAATGTATAATATATATAACTTCATAAAATCATCATAAAATTATTATGACATATATATATATATATATCTAAAAGATACCTAAAAAAAACATCCAAGGAGGCAAGGAGCACACTAATTGTAAATCAAGAGAAGATCAAAATGATGATATTTTGTTACAAAATTTCATTGTTTGTTGATTTACGTTAACCTCTTAACCTGATTTTATTGGAACCATATAAACAACATTTTCTTTAATTGAATCCATACTCTCTTTAATTAAGTAATTTATATTAAACAATTAATTTTTTCAAAATTTTAACTGCTCTTTCAACATATATACATCATTATATCTACATCAGATCTCTGATATTGTCGATAGAATTATAAATAATTTTCAATGGATAATATCTTTAAATTTGATGTATAGTACATTTTTTTATAAAATACACGCAGGGTTTAAAGGGATTAAAAAAATAAAGTCATTTTGATTTTTTATTGTGTTCTTTGGGGCGTGAGATTTTCTAGACAATGTGTGTTGTCTACGAAGCTACCTATTTCTGTAGAATTATTGCAGATAACTGCAAGGGAAGCGCGTGTTATTTCGCCGTCGACACGCGTTGATGCGTTGATGGAAATTATGCAAAAATTATACCGTTGCTTTTCATTCGATGATCGTGAAGGTATTAACACTTCTTTAGATTACAGTATTCAGTTAACGCTACATACATTGAGACATAATAGCGTTTTCCGCTGAAAAATCGCAGACGGTTGGAAAGTCTCACGGGAAACTCCACAAAGAATCAAGATTGTTAGGAATTTCTCTGTGAGTGTCGAAATGTGTGCGCTAAAAATATCAGAAAAATCCAGATTTTTATATGTTGACAATCTCGGAAAATAAACAGTAAGTGCATTTTCATGTCGCAATCATAAAATCTAATTAGATCTCTGAAATCATAAATTATGAATGATAGTTTATGAATAATAGTTTCACTATTATATATATAGTATAAGAAATATTTTATATTTTTTTAAACTATAACATATTTTCTTCGAGATGTGCATTTTAAAAGTATAAATATAAGCAAATTTATTTAAAAATAGATTTGTCTTTTTTCATATATACAGAGTAAGACATTTAAAACAGGTCACCTGAATAACTCGTTTGTTTTTAGAAGGAAAAGTGTCAAACAAAAATTGCTTGGTTTCGAGGGAATGTGATGTCAATAATTGTTTTGTAGATGGAGGCATAAACAAAAATAAAGGATAAGCAAAGATCAAATCTGTTTTTTTTATTCAATGGAACGACATGTTTCTTTATTTACATTCTGATAGAGCATTTTAAAACGAATACAGAAACTTATAATTGAAGGTCATTTAAGGTTACGCAAAGTCAATAATGAAATATAATTGAATGGAAGATAAATTGTTTCAAGGCACTCTTCAAATAATTTCGTGTCTTCTCTGCTTGTTAGTATACCGCTAATCGTTCAAGTGTATAACGATATGAAAATAAATACTGATTAGTTAATCGAAATGCGTAATACGAAAGCGGAAAAAAAGTCGATATCATTTTCATCTATGGTGATCTATATATATTTCGCAAGACACGCACTTCGATTGATAGATAAATTTGAATTGATCAGTAAATATGGATAATGCTATGTGCGATTCAATATTTATTTACATATCGTGATACACTTGAACGATTAGCGGTATACCAACAAGCAGAGAAGACATGAAATTATTCGAACAGTGCCTTGAAACAATTTATTTTCCATTATTGACCTTGCGTAACCTTGAATGACCTTCAATTATTCGTCTTAAAATGCTTCAGAATGTAAATAAAGAAACATATCATCTTTCATTTAAAAAAAATAGACTGACCTTTGCCTATATCCTTTACGCCTCCACCTACAAAACAATTATTGACATTACATTATGTGCCCCTCGAAACCAAGCAATTTTTGTTTGATACTTTTCCTTCTATTGTTAAAAATAAGCGAGTTATTCAGGTAACCTGTTTTAAATGCACATCTTGTATATTGCTTGCACTTTTTGCATTCAAAAAATTTTCGCTTTTTTTCAATGTCCGAATATATTAATTTGGTTTTAAATGCAAATATTTTTGAAAATTTCAAATAACATAAACAGATCCTAATATAACATTTAGTAAAGCTGTGCTCAGAAATTTCAGGATACATACTCTAAGTAAGTATCTGAAATTTCATTTGATCCTTAAGTAACATTCGGTGAACAACAAGAATAAAATGATATCTGGATGCAGATGCACTCAGGTGTAGTTTTTGAAATAAGTCTAAATGTGTAAATTAAATATTAAAATATATAAAATGTAAATTAAATTAAAAATTAAATTAAAAAATAAAAAACAAGAACGAACTCGTCATCTTAATTTGCATTTCCGAATTAAAAATACAAATCACATCAGTTAGAATCTGCATCTGTCACTATTTCTTCAATTTCGTTATTAGGCGCATATAGGGCCCAAGTAGTAAGCCGCGGGGGGCTGTACGTGCCAGTCTCGAGGTCCTCCCAGGTCCTCCCAGGTCCTCCCACGTCTTCATATAGCTCACGCTTCAACCCTCTCTCTTCGTAAGCCAATCGGGAGATCGCGCCATCACGACGCAGTTCCCGCGCTGGAGCCTCACGGTGGCCCGGCGTCATCCACAATCACTTCAAGAATCAAGTCCCACGATGTTGGCCGCCATGTTTTGTTAGTACGTGACTCCGAACTGCTCCGAAGACGGCTCGTACAAGTCGGGGCCCATGTGAGTATCAATGAAACATCGACCTGATGAATCACGCAATGATGTTTATAGACTCGTAAAACGAGTGAGATTTAATAACGAGTTCCAAAAGTCGCGATCATTGGATACTTCAGCAAAATCATTGCGTTGCGATCGACATAACTAAAAGCCATTGAAAATCGATCGTTATAAAAGAGCTATTAAGGGAGAATAATTTGAATTATACAGAGGTAAAACAAAATTATATGACCACCGAATTGTAAAATAACGATAAGAATTAAGAGATTCATTTATTAATTATTTATTTATTGATACTCATAATACGCGTTGGAAACAGAAGAATGAACGTTAGTAGTCAACAATTTATTGACATAGTATTTGCAGAATATTATAATCTATAATATCGGCTCAATATATTCTAACGTTTAATTAATGTATCGCCAATAAATTGTTAAGTAAGAGCAGAAAGAGGACTCCGCAATTTTAAACCAAAATACCTTTAAACGTAATAAATTAACGGTATCATATAAAAGGAACTCTCAGCTACAATAATAACAACGATTGCATGAGGGAAAACGTTGCACAAGAAGATTAATAAAGACGCGTCAACGTGTGGGCCCGGACAAGTGAAGACGGCACTGGGCATCCTATGAAATGCGGCCTACCGGCGAGAAAAACGGGGATCTGGCGCGCGGTGACCGTAGACGAGCGAATGGGCCAGGGCATTGCCAGCGCAGAGTGCAGCCACGGCGGTCGTACCGCGGCAACCGCTAAGTCGTACTCGCGAGTACACGGAGGCCTCCTGACGTGCCTTCGACGAGCTCAAAACGCGCGGATCAGGTGACAGCGCGGAATGCGCGTCTCCTATGAGGCCGCCGGCCAAGGTGTGCAGGGGAACAAAGGGGGACAGGGAGCGAAAGCCAGGTGGAACGACGTGTCTCGCAGACACGTAGCAGGAATCCCTTCATCGACTCCATATCTATTGCGCCGTCTACGACAGGACGATCCTTACATACTATATACGCAGATCGGAACTGCTCCGATTTCTGAGTTGCGAACGATTTGTGTTTCTGGAAACTAAGGTGACAAAACGCAGTACTTGGACAAGACGACGTGTTTGTTCTTTCGGTGAAGCAAGAGAGGTAAGACACTTGTGTGTGACACACACCCTGCGAATCCAAGTGTATAATAAGAAATAACTTTAATATATATAGTTAGTTTTCTGTGTAAAAATGACACTATACTTATACAATATTACACAATTTCTTTTAAGACCATGTAAACAATGACGAATAGAAAATAAAGGTCTAAAACTGCAGTCAAGCTGGTGCTTTAGTGTTCAAATAATTTGGATTTGTATACTCACATCCTGCAAACTGCGCGTCTAATTTAATTTTCAGACTTGAAATTATTCAGTCTAGCAGGACTATAATGTATATAATAATATCAATCATTAAATTGATAAGCAATTTAATAATATTGATGCTCATGGGCATCTTAGAAAAATCTTAATAATCTAATGCTAATAGTATTTTGAAACCTGTTAATAATTAATGTGTTATTTTTACACGGAAAACTAATCATATACATATATTAAAGGCACTTTTTACACACTTGAATTTGCAATGACAATGCTGATAAAAAGAAACTGCAGATATCGAATTTGGTTCCATTTACATTCGATGGTATCCGAGATGAAAAACGGATGGAGAACACGCTGCTAATAGATGAGAATTAGTATATCCTTGCTGCGAATGGAGAGTGTTCCTTTTAACGAGAACCGCGCAAATTGGTATGATATTCGCTTCACTAGAATCTGTGGAAAAGAACGAAAAAAAAAGGGAAGGGAAACATATGAACGTTACGAGAGAAGAATTGTTCACGACAATCCGTGTTCCGCTTACCCACGGTACACTTGAAGCGAAGGGCACCCAAGCCGCAGAGAGACGGGAAACGCGTAGACTGCTGATAGAGGGGAATCGATGTTACTGCGGGGATTAGTAGTATGAGAGACTATGGTATGTCGATTGTGAGCAGCACGCTGCTTAAGTTGTACGCGAAGGCCACGATTGTACGACTGTTACGACTCTGACGCGCGTGTACGAGAGTCGAGCATTGAGGTGATAGTAGTCTCGAAAGTAAGCAGTAGTTACAAGAAAACGTACTCACTGAATATATCCGAACATTCGACAAACATTGGTGAATGCTCCAATAATTGCTTTTACGTACGATTATCTACTTAACTTCAGAACACGTTAATCCGATTTAACATGATGTTCTTTCAGAGTGCATTGTGAATCAAAGACTTATAATTGGTACAATTTCGTGGAGAATACGGATGTGGACGGACGTAATCGTGAAGGCGACTTCGCAGAAATGACTGACGTCTGATTTCTTCATCTCCGGTTGATCGTCGGATAAAGTTACTTGGATCATAATTACTGCTCTGTCTTTAAGCCACGGTTTGCAATGCGGATAGAAAGTTGAGATTAATTAACGTCGAAAAAAAAAAACGGACTATAAGTATAAGTGAATCATACAACAAGTGATGTGATTCTTGCTAGACAAGACTCTTTCGTAAAGCGCCGCTGGTAACAGGTGCATTCGGAACAAGAAGCGCGCGAAAGAAGACGAATACGAGGAGAAGGCAAAAAAGTCGAAGAAGAGGAAGAGAAGGAGAACATAGAAATCGGTCGTCGAAAGAGTAGCGCGCAAGCAGGGTCTCCTACGGCGATAAGGCGAGGCCCAGGTGTCGGTGGAGGGAACGTATGTATCGCGCGGGGCCGGTCACGCGGACCGGGCCCACCGCTGCCACTCGTGAGAGATCGCGCGCTGACCCAGATTTCGGCGGGTCAAACCGACGCGAGGAGGCCGCGGTGGACTTTCTGAAATGGGACACGGCGCAGCCTGGAGCTAAATTAGCCGCGATGTCCAATAAGAGTAAGTCCCAGTCGCAGCAGCAGCAGCCGCAGCCGCAGCATTATCAGCAGCAACAACAGCAGCAGCAGCAGCATCCTCCGCACGTAATCAAACCAGTGGACCAACTGCCGCCGCGCTATCAGCCCCCTCCGCAGCCTACCAGCGGCATTCTGAAGAACCATCTACACTTTGCCAACGGAGGTACATCGATATCAAGCTTGGCTCAGGCCGGCAGTAATCAAGGTTCAGGCGTGGCCTTGAACCATCATCAGAACACGCAGCCGCGCACGTTGCCACCGCCCCCGCCGTCTTCGCAGCATCATCATCAGCAGCATCAATCGCAGCAGCCAACTCAATCACAGCAGCAATCGCAGCAGCAGCCACCATCGAAGGATGCGCAGAGCAAATACTCGCCAAGAATAGAGCATCATCATCATCATCCCCAGCCGGGTAACCCTCTGATCGCTGCCGCATCGGCAGCGGCGTCTAAGAGTCAACAACAGCCGCAGCCGTCAACCTACCTCCAACAGCCTAAGCTTAGCCAGGGTCAGTACTTGCCACCCAGCAGTCAGTATCCGGCGGTGAACAACGGCCAGAGCGCGCCGGTCAGACAGAGGATCAGCGACGACGAATTTCTGCGACTCGGCCCCGTGGAGATGCTTAAGTTCGTGCGGAAGACCGAGAGTGACATCGCTAGGCTCGCCGCCGAGCAGAATCGCCAGATACAGAACTTGGTGAGTTCTCCTTGGTGGATTGTCTAATTTCGTGTGACATAAGCAACGAAAAATTAACGAGATTTAATCATACAAAGGTTAATATAATATGGAAAATTCAGAAGTATAATCTCAAAAGTTTTCTGTTATAATCATCTCTATACAATGTATTAATTTTAACTTTATAAATAATAAGAATAAAAAGGACTAATGAGAGTAAAATCGCTGTTAGTGTTGCGACATATAAAAAATATGTTATAGTACATAAAATGACTGTGATGGTTACCACTGTCCTACTTGTCCATGGCCTTATCAATGTTTTAATTATTTGCGACTTTTACTATTGAAGATGGCTCGGATGCAAGCCAAAACGTATAGTATTGTATTAATTTTATCGTTATTTTATGTACTATAATATATTTTTTATATGTTCGCAACACTAACAGCGATTTTTATATTCTTATTAGCCCTTTTTATTCTTGTCATTTGAAATTTTCGAGAGTCTACTTTTATATTTAATTGCGTTAACTTTTTATATAAATTATTTAAATACAAATTTAAACTAGGAGTTTCTGAACTTTTGAAATTATTAATGTTATTCGTATATTTTTAGATCTAAATTAACGGCCTGTTAAAATGACTCTACTTCGAATGCCATAACATTAAAACACAATCTAAATAATTATTCATACGTTTAATTCATTTTATTTTGATTTAGAATTTCGTTTTTGTATAACGGTTTTTGCTTTGCAATAAATCCACTACAATTTCTAATCATTAGCTAGATGTTAAATTGCAAATAGAACCTATCTTGCGAAAAACCAGAAAATCATGTTTTTTTGGGGAGATCGTAATATACATGATTCATATGATATCAATATATATATATATATATATATATAACGTTACATTAATAATATTTCGTTGAATCTTCAAGAATGCTGTTTGCTGCCCTTGAAATCTTTAGCACGCTACACGGAAGTTTTCGAGGATTTCTTGTAGGTCATACACAGATTGAATCGACCGTCGTAATTTCAAACAGTCACGCATACGTGAGATAAACCGCAAACGATCGCGCGAACAATCGGTTTCCTCTGACCAGCAAAAGCTTACCAAAAGTACGCGATCGGAATTGGTCACGCATCGCTCGCACACGCATGATGAATAGGTGAAAGGATTTTTTTCAGTAATCGGCTTGTATACCTCGGTGTGCGAATACGTCATTTGTAGCAATCAATGACTGTTATTTCTCTCACTACAGGCACATTAATTATAATAATACAAAACATATTCGACCATAAAAGATACGTCGGTATCACCTGTAAAAAAAAACCTAGATATAAAAACTTATAATATATTTGAATAGCTATTTACAATTATAAATATTTAAAATAAATTTTTAAACATTTATTTACGATAACAAAGTTCGATTCAATTTACAATTGATTAAAAAAGAATACTTAGCTGAATGGGAAATCTGTCATTATCATATCTATAAAAATCTTATAGATACAAGGAACTATAATGTATTTGAATAGCTATTCACGATTATAAATTTTTTAAATAGTTATTTATTATGATTAAACTTTGTTACGATTTGCAATAAATTAACAAAATAATCGAAATATTCTCGACAATTCCCGTGTGTTTGAATCTATTTGTTTACATGATTACAAACATATAACAATGTATATAACAATATAAAATTTTTTTAAAAAGAACGTAACTTTAAGAAATATAAAACGAGCACGACTTAACAAAGCTATCTACTTTCCAGGTGAATGAGCTGCGGTTGCTGAAAGAAGCTAACCAAAGATTGAACGACGATAACCAAGAATTGCGCGATCTTTGCTGCTTTTTGGACGACGATCGTCAAAAGGGTCGCAAATTAGCGAGAGAGTGGCAGAGATTTGGCCGATACACAGTGAGCGTTATGCGACAGGAAGTTTCAGCTTACCAGAATAAGTTACGTCAACTGGATAATAAGCAACAGGAATTAATTAAAGACAATCTAGAGCTCAAAGAACTGTGCCTATATCTCGATGAGGAACGCAGCGGTGGTCAAAGAGACGACGGCGACGGGTCGAGTTCGAGTACGAACGCCGAAGAGACTGCGCCGCCAAGGCCGAGACACACTTCCACATTTAACGGTATAATCTAGTAAAAAATGCAGACCTCTTTCTCTACCTCTTGTATTAAATCAATAAGCGCAAACATTTCTTTTATGCAGAAGGAAATATGCTGAAATATAATTTTAATTTAATTTAATATTAGAAGATATAATAATCATAATTCGAAGAAAATGAAAGCTTTATAAAAAATAAAGAGCTTCTCTAAAAAAAAATCACTACTTTTGTGTTTATGTAATAATAGTATGGTACGTGATGAATGAATATTATTTAAAGTGCTTATTGTCTTTAAATGAAGAGTACGCATATAACCATACCTGTGAAAGTATATACATTACAGTTATTATTTTAATGATCTTCTGGAATTCCGGAATGATTCAGTTGCAAATCTCTTGCAGATCAAACAATGCAATACGTAAGAAGCTTGGAACAACGGGTGAAACAGTTGGAAGAAGACAAAAATGTTCTCCAGACCCGAGCGCAAGGTTGGGAAGTGCTACCATCGGGTGAAGTTTGGGATAGTCCTGCGAGCCCGAATGACAACACTCACTTAGGAAGCCGACCGGAGGCCGTAGTGCGCGCTCTCCAAGTTCTCGAAGTCAGAGAACAACTGGAAAGAGAAGAAGGTCATGATGGTGAAAAGGCGTTAGTCAGAGAAATGTGCAATGTAAGTAAACGTTACTACCATTCCTCGATTAATAATAAGTAATCATTACAACATGGTTTCACTTTTGAAAAAGTATCTTTCAAACAGAAAAGGAATTTTTTTTTTAATATGATTATTTTACGGTGTGATTCGTACCCAGAAAGATCCCACGAAAAATTCTTTCGCGTGAAATAAGTAATATAACATATTCATTACTTATAATTAATTAAAATCTTTTTTTCCAGGTCGTCTGGCGGAAATTGGAGGAAGGTCCGCAAGCAAGGCATTAACGATCATGCCAAGAAAACAACTATCTGTCAATATTAGAGCGTTGTTAATATATAACAATAAGCTCTAACATACGTGACGTAAAGATAGTATAATAGTGAATAATAGGTCTACTCTTTAATTGTTACTGCACTGAACTGTACTAATTATAAGACTTTCTATCTCGCGTTCGCCAAACATTAAATATATATCTATTTCATTTTAAGTACAAGTGTATACTAGTTCAGCAACAAAGAACAGACTTACCTTGGTGAAAATTTTTAGAATTCTTTATGTAATTATTCGGAATTTTTATATAAATTTCGAAATTTTTGTATTATTTTATAATTTTTTTAAAAATTTCTCATTTTTTTGTACGAATTGAAATACCTTTCAGAAGTTTTAAGAAAGTTCTTATGTAATATTTTCTAAAATTATATATGAGTTCTAACATATGTACTTTAAAATTTTTAAGATTTTCATTCTATAATTTTTGAAAAAAAATTATAAATTAGAAAAATAAAATGAGAAATTTTTTCACCAGGAAAACACGATATTTTATGTAGATTGTTATACGATTGTACAAAAAATCATTTCGTTATGAGAATACTGATAGTATCTATTTATGTAAATGTAGTTTTCGCAGATTATCTATTAACAAAATATTTTTATTATATAACGTCTATATGATTTATTCGCGGTTGATCTCGCTCTTTTCCTTCTCCTTTTTCTTATCAAAAATCTGTCGTAAATATCTTTCCAAATTTAAATTTGGGAAGCAATATAAATTATTTTACAAATAGCCTATATCTTTTCTGGTATTTTAATTGTAACGAAATTTCCAAAATTAGACTTAAAACATTTTCGAAATATTTGATTCACTTTTTAATTGACAAAATTGAAGATATTATCTTCAATTGAAAATATCTGTAACTGGTAAAGTCATAATTTAACATTGCCCTTTTTCGCACACATTGTGGGCCAGTTAATTATTCGCGGCGTTCACTTCTCTCTCTCTCTCTCTCTCTCTCTCTCTCTCTCTCTCTCACCCCCACGAAAAAACATCCCTTCGATGAAATTCATACTGTGAATACGCAAGCGAGTGTTTGTATTTCTATTTTTATCTCATCAAAGGATTTGCTTTCAATGGTGCGGGCGTTGGATTGCCCCATATACATCTCGGCTGCCTGTAACGTCGTCTAGTACCATCGTGTCAATGCGAGGCAATTAGGATATTTTCCAATCTAGCTACAATCAATTTCATCTCCTTCGCTGCTTAGTATATGTCTCGCGTAAATTTAAAAGCATTCGAAAATTAAAGTCTTAAATAATTATTTACACCGAAGCTACCTACATGACAAAATTAATGAGCGCTTTCTTAGCAAAGAAAAATAAATTAGCTATAGCAATATTTTCTAAATTAATTATTTATAGGTCTTATCTGTCTGTTGAAAAGGACATATTCTTTAAACAATTCATTTCGCATCTGTGTATCTCTTCATGAATTCTCGGTCGCCGAGCTTGCGCCGCTCCAGATGAAAAGCACAGTGGGAGTCGCACGCAGCAGCCACCGGCTATCGGAAAGATGAGTCGCCGGTGATGTGCTTGTGCGGAGGCCTCGCGGAGGACAACGCCAGGATTATCCTCCTTGCCGTTGTCCTGGCAGCATATATGCTCGCAGGCGCGGCTCTCTTTCAAAGGCTAGAAAGTGATTTCGAGATACGGCAGGTACAAAAGTGTATCCAAATATAACATATATACGTATAAAATATATATACGTATAAAATATATATAAAAGATTACTCTTCTCTCTTCCGCTATAATTCTTACGAGAAACAATCGCAGATGGAGAAAATGTCTTTTAAAATTAAAATTAAGATATTAAATACAGTGATCTCTCTCTCTTTATACAAAGAAAATTAAGAAAAAGACCTTTTCCCTCTTTTTAAATCTTCATAATTCACACCAAATGAATGAATAAATTTTATTGTGTTTATCGATACGTGTAACGCGATCGATAAATGTATCGTGTTATCGTGAAATCCATACAAATAAGAATTGTTAAGAATTATTTAATCCGAGAATAAAGTCACCTGATTTTTTTTTATAAAAATAAGAAAAAGGAGCAAGATTGATTTTTTTTTTATATAAACGATCTAACTATCACCTCGGGTGTTTTTACATTTTAATTAAAATAATATTATTATATTGTATATTATATTATAGTTTTGATTTATTAATATTTAAGAACATAATAATATTCAATTTTTTAAATTCAATGTATGGATATATATTTATTTTCTGAAAAAAGTTCTTCAGTGTTTTAAATTTTACGCCTCTATTTCACGGTTATTATTTAATACATACTTTACAACAATTCATATTTTTTCGCTGTTAAAGTATAAGAATATCCTATAGATAATTATTCCCGGATTAAAATTCTAGATTATTTATTAATATTTTTCTTAAAATGCGCATAGGCGACAGAATTCTGGCAGGTTTATCACGCGTTTCGGAAACACCACCTGCGAGATAGCCCCTTGGCTTTACAGAGGCTGCATGAATTGCTATATGCCTATGGCAACGCTTCCGCTACCGGCATCATTAACAAGAGACGCCGCTGGGACTTTCCCGGTAGCTTTCACTTTGTTGGCACCATAGTTTCTACGATCGGTAAGAAACATAACGCAATATACTATAATGGGAATGCCAATTACTTGTCATCCGTATCTACGATGTGGTTGAGAGTATCAGTGGAATTCACCGGATTCACGTCAACTACTTTTTTAATTCCTTGTTTTTGCGATGTCGCGAAAACAAATCAACTTTCATGCCTCAATCAAAACAACGTTCCTGCCTGATTCCTTACCAGAGATCTTAATATTCGTAAAAGTCTTTTTTATTACAATTATTCTTATTAATCTTAATCAGTATTCGCGAGTCAAGCGCGAATTACATTTAAGTTATATAATCTAATATTTCTCAGATTTTTTTCTTTAACATGAAAAAAAGATTTTAAAGTATATTCGGGTATATTCAGAAATCAAAAAATCATTTAAGGGTGATTTACACGGTGCTGCTTCTATTAGTTTTGAGCAAACTTCTTAATTCGTCAGTGAATTCGCTGATAAAAAAAAACTTCTTCTAGATGTTCATTTTTTATTCAAAATTTTTAAGTCACAGCGTTTAATATAATCGCTGCGGCGCGTCGAAGTTGAGCATGTCCAACTTTAACACTTTCGTCAAGCGATTTTAGCAGCAACGTCTAAAAAAAATACGCTCCGTATAAAAACGGTAGCGAATGAATCAGCGGACAACTGGCGAATAGTTCGCAAATTGCGCTTACATGATTGGCTGTTTTCACTAAACTATCTCCAAAACGTTAGCGACTTATACTGGTTACTAGCACCGTGTAAATGGTTCAAAATGGTTTAAGGACTTTGTCAGCCAGAAATTCGCTTTGGGAGAAGCGAAAATCTGGCGATCAAAGCCAGCGTTAAATCAAAAATAGCATTTATATATATATAATATAAATAAAAAAAATAGGGAGGCGCTATTGTACTTCAAATAATTTAATTTCCTCCTGCTCTTTCTTCTTTACTTTTTATACTCTTTGAGTACTAACAACTTCGCGATGTACCACGTATTTATACACATTACTAAATTATACAGAGAAAAGTTTTGTCGAGGTGATCGCATTCCTCAGCAAAACTTGGTCATAATGATGTTAAGTAAGGGGATAAGGGGGTAAGGGTCGTCGGCCGGTGTATGCATGAGAATGTGAATTCTGGAATGCTAATATCTCGCGACCTAGTCTTATCCACACGCGACTCTGGCTGTCCTTTGGTCGTCGATCTCTATATATGCATTCGTCGCCGTGTAATATATTTCTGAAATGAAAGAAGCGTAACATTGAAATTATTTTGTAGGATACGGAAGCACTGCACCCCAGACATCGGCGGGTAAAGCGGCAGTCGTTCTTTACGGTTTCTTCGGTTGTTCCGGTAATAATAAAATCTACATCTAATAATGTGAAAAAATGTCTTACGTGATTAAAAAATCATAAATAATAATATTAAAAATAATCTGGTTCTAGAAATACAGAATAAAAATTCAGGAATGTTGAATGAAAACTTAAATATATTACATAGATCAGTTTTCATCTATATAAGATTAATTTGGATCAGTTTAATTTCATCTTTAAAAATTAGATCAAGATAAACAATAAATTAAACCGAGATTAAAGTTAATAATGCATTAGTGGAATCTTAATGAAGCTACTTCTAATATTAAGTAATAATTTAGGTGGTATCTTGTTCTTCAATCTCTTTTTGGAGAGAATCATTACTCTCCTAGCGTGGATCTTGCGCAGCTGGCATGTACATCGATTGAGAAGACGTCTCCGCAAGACTACATTGACATCCCGCCGGATTACTAAATCATCGAATACCCAGAGACCATCTTTGCCAGACATCCTTGACGATGACGACGACCATGTGAACCTGGATCAATGGAAACCGAGCGTATACTGGGTCATGTTTTATTTATCCGTCACCTCCTGCATCGTCGCCTGTTGTGCCGCTGCACTTTATGCACCGCTGGAGGGCTGGGATTACTTCGACGCACTGTACTTTACCTTCGTGAGCTTTACTACTATTGGCTTCGGCGACTTTGTTAGCACGCAACAACTGAGCTATCCTTACGTACACTGGTAAGATTGCAAAGATTGTTTCAAGGCGTAAATTGAAATTCTGTTAACTAAATTTTGAATAATAGACTGACAAATTTGATTTTTCTTTAACTAAGATGCGCTAATATATGTGTATATATATATATATGTATATATATGGTATATATGTATATATATGTGTATATATATATGTATATATATGGTATATATATATATATATATATATATATATATACACAGGGTGTTCATTTGAAAACTTTCCAGCTAATTATCTCGAAAAATATAAAGATACAAAAAAAAAGTTAAAACACGTATTCCATGATTTTGAGGGGGAAAAAGAGTGGCACTCTCAATTTTTTATTTGGAGGGCGTTTTCAACGTAATTTGAAGGTCAAATTAATTTTTTTAAATGGCAATGTATATTTTTTATTACAGGATCTTATTCTACGTAAAAAAAAAAAAAACAAGTAACTTCTGTAGGAAACACTTTTTTGTTCGATCAT